GATATAGAATCAACAAGAATTCTCACCTTCACCATTGCTATTCAATATAGTCCTAGAAGTTTTATCCAGAGCCAAGAAAAATATCAAAGGGATTGGGAAGGAGGAAGTCAAACTATCCCTCTTTGCAGATGACATGATTCTATATATAGGAGATCCAAAGGCTACTTCAGGAGACTGTTGGAATTCAAAGAAGAGTTTGATAAAAAGCATGATATAAAAGCAGTACACAAAAATCAACAGCTTTTGTACACACAGACAATGCCAAAGCTGAGAATGGACTTCTAAGATCAATCCCATTGACCACAGCTACAACAAAAACCAAACACCTTGGAATAAATTTAACCAAGGATGTAAAGATCTTTATGACGAGAAGTACAAAACATGAAAAAAACAAATAGAAGAATATAGAAAATTAGAAGAATTTTTCCTGCTTATTGATTGGAAGAATCAATATCATCAAAATGTCTTTACTTCTGAAAACAATCTACAGATTCAAGGTGATACCATCAAAGTACCAAAGACATTTTTCTCAGATATAGAAAATATGGTACGGAAATTCACATGGAAACATAGGAGACCCAGAAGAGCTAAGGGAATCTTTTACAACAAAAATGAAGGTAAAGTCATCACAATACCACATTTCTAGGCATACTACAGGGCAGTTATAATCAAAACAGCCCAGTACTGGTACAACAATGGATGGATAGACTAATAGAACAGAATAAAAATGCCAGAAATCAGTTAAAGAATCTACAACCAACTAACACCAATCCATGAAGCAAAAGCAGTCTCTTCAACAAATGTTGCTGTTAAACTGCATTTCCACATGCAAGACTTTGAAGCAAGACCTCTACCTTACACCTTACAGAAATATCCACTCAAAATGATTAAAGACCTAAATCTATGACCTGCTACCATCAAAGTATTAGAGATCATTGTGTAAACCCTGCAAGACGTTGGCACAGGCAAAGAGTTCTTGGAAAAGACCCCAGAGGCACAGGCAGTCAAAGCCAAAATTAACAATTGGGGCTACATCAAACTGAGCTTTTAGGCATGGAAAGCCAAGACACTGTGGCAAAAAATGTCCTACATGAAGGATCTCTGTGTGTGAGACCTCAGTGGAACGAAGTGGCCATTAAAGAAAAGATAGTTTTCTCTAAAAGGAGAGACCTTCCACTTTGCTTATGGCCTTGCCTAAATCTGGTGGAGTTTGTGGATTCAAAAGTCTTCCATAGCCTTGGCAGTTCATGTCAAGAGCCTTAGGTGATCACTGATGTCATACATAAGAGTGTTAATTTTTAAATTAACAACAGGAGTCACTGTGCATTAACTTCCCATGCAGGACTTCTGTCCTCAATGAGTTCTATTATGAGAGTTAACTGTAAAGCTTGTTCTCAGTTTTGTGTGTGTGTGTGTGTGTGTATGAATTGTTGAAATCCTTACTTAGTTGGTCTACTGTGCATAAAATTAATTAAAAATGAATCTTAATGGAGAATTGGACTGGGGATGGGAGAAGGAGAATGATGAAAGCTGGGAGGGTGAGTGGGAGGGCAGGTATGGTGGGAAGAATCACTATTTTCTTGAAGTTGTACTTATGAAATTTGTATTCTTTAAACAAAAGGTATTGTTTATTCTTTAAACAAAAGGTTTCTTTGTGAAAAAAAATGTGAAATAGTTTGAAAATGGCTTCTTCTCTTAACCCTGTATGAAGGTTTTATGAAAATGTGGATTTATTTAAGTTCCAAAGTTTTTTTTTTAACTTTTATTTAATAAATGTAAATTTCCAAAGTACAACTTATGGATTATAATGGCTTCACCCCCCATAACTTCCCTCCCACCCACAACCCTCCCAATTCCCACTCCCTCTCCCCTTCCATTCACATCAAATTTCATTTTCAATTATCTTTATATACAGAAGATCAATTTAGCATATATTAAGTAAAGATTTCAACAGTTTGCACCCACGCAGAAAAACAAAGTGAAAAATACTGTTTGAGTACTAATTATAGCATTAAATCACAATGTACAGCACATTAAGGACAGAGATCCGACATGAGGAGTAAGTGCACAGTGATTCCTGTTGTTCACTTAACAAATTGACACTCTTGTTTATGGCATCAGTAGTCACCCTAGGCTCTTGTCATGAGCTGCCAAGGCTATGGAAGCCTTTTGAGTTTGCAGACATCGATCTTTTTTAGACAAGGGTCATAGTCAAAGTGGAAGTTCTCTCCTCCCTTCAGAGAAAGGTACCTCCTTCTTTGATGACCTGTTCTTTCCACTGGGATCTCACTCACAGAGATCTTTCATTTAGGTCCTCTTTTTTTTTTTTGCCAGAGTGTCTTGGCTTTCCATGCCAGAAATACTCTCATGGGCTCTTCAGCCAGATCCCAATGCCTTAAGTGCTGATTCTGAGGCCAGAGTGCTATTTAGGACATCCGCCATTCTGAGTCTGCTGTGTATCTTGCTTCCCATGTTGGATCGCTCTCTCCCTTTTCAATTCTATCAGTTAGTATTAGCAGACACTAGTCTTGTTTATGTGATCCCTTTGACTCTTAGACCTATCATTGTGATCAAATGTGAACTAAAATTGATCACTTGGACTAGTGAGATGGCATTGGTACATGTCACCTTGATGGAATTGTATTGGAATCCCCTGGCATGTTTCTAACTCTACCATTAGGGGTAAGTCCGATTGAGCATATGCCGAACTGTACATCTCCTCCCTCTCTTATTTCCACTTATATATTTAATGGGGATCACTTTTCAGTTAAATTTAAACACTTACAAATAATTGTGTGTTAATTACAGAGTTCAGCCAATAGTATTAAGTAGAACAACAAAAAAAATACTAAAAGGGATAAAGTATTAAGTTATACCCCAAACTTTTTGATTTTGTTTTTTCATCTACTCTTTAAGTATTGAGTAAATTCTTGTTATTTTGAAAGCCACTGATTAGGCTGAATCACACAATAATGACTTATAGCACTGAATCATTAAATGTTGGTGATCTCAGTTGATGTTGGTGAAAGAGAGCAAGACATGAGACATTTAGGATCTAGCCTAAGTTCTACCACCTCTAGTCCGTGTCTCCTTTCCTGGGAACTGACTCTCTGAGACTCTGCTTCCTTGTTTCTTAAGTGGTGATAATCTTACCTTAGGCAATTTTGGTAGAATCCAAAGGATATTATTTTTATTATCATATTATTATATGTTCAAATTGTCAGAATCCCTGTAATTACAAACAATGACATATTGCATAACTGAGTCTTAGAAGACTTAATTTTTCTTACTGAAAGGGCTTAGAAACAACTGAACTAGTAAGTTGTAGAATATATGATGATATCTTAAAACATACATGACTTTGCATATACATTGTCCCAATCACTGGCTTAACCTGCTGCAACATGTTGTTGCCCCACACCTTTGCTTCATGAATGCAGTCAGTGGTGTTGACTCAGAGTAACTAATGTTTGGGGTTTGGTTTGTTTTGCTAACATGGTTGCCCAGGTAGCAGTGGTGTGAGCCATTGTATACTGCAAAGGACATCAGAAGATCTCATCTCCAATCTGTTTTTTTTTTTTTTTTTTTTTTTTTGTTAAATATGAGCTCTATGCCCATGGCCAGATCTCCTATTCTCCCATAGCCTGTATTTGCAGCTGAAAAGTAAGAAATAGTGATCTCTTCTTTCCAGTATTTTGCATGAAATAGTGAAAAGTATTAACATTTTTTTAGCTAATAACTTGGCATATAGTTTATTACTGAATTATATTAGCTATTTCATGTTTAGGCACCTGTACTGCTGGTAGAGTGTACTGAGTGCTTGAAAGGCTTCCACTCTCAAGGACAAAGTGTCCTAGATTTTGGAGTAGCAGACAACAAACAATTAGTGCATGTGTCATAGATTATTTTGATTTGCCTCAAAGTCAAAAATTATCAACTGGTCATTAAACTAACTTGCTTGCATCAAATAATTTGCTTCAGTGATTCTCTATCATGACAAAACAGTAAATGTGTGGATTGATAATTATAAAAATATAGTTGATTCTGATAATTTTATTATGTGTATATGTCAAAATATCATCTTGTGCACCTTATATATATATATATATGTGAGAAATATAAATTGTAGCATTTATGACTGCAGTTATCAGTGTGGGACAAATATAATATCTTTACAGATTATCGCTTTGTAGAAGCATTGTCTTAGTGATCTTGTAAGATTTTCATTACAGTACTGTTTAAATTATTGTGACCAATCAGTGCTATCTCCTGAATAGCACTGCATGTGTTGGTCTTTGTTCTGGAACTGTTTGAAGAAGTCCCTGATCCCATTCACCATGGAAGCTCATGCCTGCGAGTTTGCTCATAGTCTGCATTCTTGGTTGTCCCATATTTTACTCGGTTATTTCTCACGATTCCAGGTCCAGGTCAAGAAGGCAACACTAACAACAGCATCTGGAATTGATGAGGAGGTGGGAGAAGCCACTGTTTCCCCAGCCCTTTCCACTCAGTTCTCTGAGATTAACTTTTGCCTCAGTTACACTGAAAAAGTTTCACTCTGCAGTGATGGAAAGTGGAGAAACCCTATCTTTATTCCTTTCCTAGAGAATGTAGGCCCTGTTACAGTGTAGTGTACTTTCTTTTTTTTTTAATTGACAGGTAGAGTTATAGACAGTGAGAGAAAGACAGAGAGAAAGGTCTTCCTTCCGATGGGTCACCCCCCACCCCCAAATGGCCACTATGGCTGGCACTGCATCGATCCGAAGCCAGGAGCCAGGTGCTTCTTCCTGGTCTCCCATGTGGGTGCAGGGCCCAAGCCCTTGGGCCATCCTCCACTGCGCTCCAGGGCCACAGCAGAGAGCTGGACTGGAAGAGGAGCAATTGGGACTAGAACCCAGAGTCCATATGGGATGCTGGCGTCACAGGCGGAGGATTAAGCAAGTGAGCCACAGCGCCGGCCCCGCAGTGTAGTGTACTTTCAGAGTAAAAGCTCATTTCTAAAATTGCTCTTGAGAAAGCTGAGGTGTGAGCTAAAAGGCACCATACTGGACATCAAAGCTTCTCAGTTCCAATCCCAGTTCTGCCATGTTTGAACAATGGGACACTACAGATTTCCTGTCTCTGAGCTCCTCCTCTTCCTCGTTTAAAAAGGAAAAAGAATAATGCCTACACTCAAGTGATTTTTTTTTAGGGGTTTAATGATGAAAGACATGACTATTTACTTGATACGTGTTGAATTATTCAACATGCTGATGCATGAGTTACTTTAGGTATAATGTTTAGTATTGTAATGTTACTGTAGAATCTAAAATAATTGAAGAATTGTTCACCTTCAAGGAAAATAATCTAGTGTTTCAGAAAGTGTTACAGGATAAACATTTTATATACAAGGTGTGTTATACACAGGTTGCCCTCAATGTCATATATTCCCAACTAACATCAGTTTAATAAGTCAGAATGTTGGACAATTTTTCTATCCAAAAAGTTATTACAGTAGCTCTCAATTTTGAATGCTCATTGGAACCACCTGGAGTTATTAACATAAGTCATAAAAAGTGATTGTGCCTCACCATAAAATAGGTGGACCAGGACTTTTAATGTGGAATAAGGATAGGGGAAGCAATGGAAAACAGAGTAAGAAGAAATAGTGCCTTATTTTCATAAGCCAAAGTCCATTCAAAAGAGGCATTAAGTGCATTTGGCCCATTGTTTGCTTTTATAGGTCAAAGGCACACATTATTTGCAGGGAGTGTTCTAAAAGCCTGAGGTTTGCAGCACTCAGTTGTCTCAGGAAGAAGAGAAGGCTCCCATGGATCCCGTGGTGGTGCTGGGGCTCTGTCTCTCCTGTTTGCTTCTCCTTTCAGTCTGGAAACAGAGGCATCGGGGAGGGAAGCTTCCTCCTGGACCCACTCCTTTTCCAATTCTTGGAAACATCCTGCAGTTAGATTTTAAGGACATGAGCAAATCTATAACCAGAGTAAGTACACATTATCATACTTCAATTGTTTCTAAAGGTTAAGTAATTAACTCCAGATTTTAAATACAATATATTACTGGGAGACAAATTAGTAAAATATTTGTTTAAAAGAAATACTTCTTTGGGATTATGATTTTTGATATGTCATTGTCAGAAATAGTTCAATGAATTGATGCAATTTGCCAGTATAGAAATATTAAAGTTCTAAGGTAGAGTCAAACTAATAAAATGCTACTGTCTTTGTTTCACAATCATTTTAGTAATGATTTTGTTGTCTAAAAAGAAATAGTAGTGGAGTGTTTTATTATAAATGACTTTAATGAAGAATCATCAAATGTTTACTTTTTGTATTCTGTTTTGATAAACCAAGGGAATTAAAGCAGAAGGAAGCAAATTATTACTGGTGTCAAGGAAATATCTTTGGTTCTAAAAACATATACATGAAAGAAACAAAGAATGAGTTAGGGTATGTTGAGTGGCAATGGCACAGTTCTGGACCTGCACAAAGTTGCTTTCTGTGACTGTGATTGTACAGTAGGGGTTAAATTGTCTGCCAGTGAGATACGCTGGTCCTTGCCGTAACTCCATGATATCCGCTCTCTTTCTGTGTTAATAATACCAGCAGATCTTAAACTTCTGGGCACTAGGATTATCTGGGTGATTTCAACAAACGTAGATTTCTAGTATTTATCACTTCTGAGTCTGATTCCCTTGGGAAGAGCTTTGTGGATGATCTGGAGCAGCGTGGTACAGCAGCTGGGTGTGGGCCCAGATTTGAACGTGGAGCCCTGATAAAGTGCTGAGGCAGCGGTGGCTGACAAAGTACAGTTTAAGTTTGGATCTTCCATTTATTAGTCATGTAACAAAGAATAGAAATTTTAAAAATTTAATCTATCTGTAAAACAGAGTAAAAAATCTTGCTCAATATGTTGACTAGTTGTGATAATCTGCATACTATTTTGCCTTGCAATAGCCTGCCTTTCGGGAGTCACTGTTTGCGGAGCTATAGCAGTCACCACCATGCCCATATATAACATCCAGACATGTTTGATGTTGTATTTAACAGAACAAAAATATCCATATGATGTCATACCCATCTGAGTCATGCTCACTATGTAGAAAATGAGATTTCTTTTGCTCATATTTGCATTTTCTTTCCTATTTTCAGCTGTCTGCAGTCTATGGCCCTGTGTTCACTGTGTATTTGGGCATGAAGCCCGCTGTGGTGATATGTGGATATGATGCAGTGAAAGAAGCCTTGGTTGATCTGGGAGAGGAGTTTTCTGAAAGAGATGTTTTCCCACTGACTGCAAAAGTTAATAAAGGATTTGGTCAGTGCTTGCATGCTTGTGTGTGCATGTGTATGTGTGTGTTTGTCAGTGATGGTGGAGAGGGGTGGGGAACAGAAATGTGAATTGTCCCCTCCTGCACAGCCGGACCGGTCCACAGGCTTGCCTGTGTCAGCTCCCTTTCCTTGCCTGTGTCAGCTCCCTTTCCTTGCCTGGGATCCTCCTTTAGTTTCCATTTCTCCTCCTCATAGGCATCATTTTCAGCAATGGAAAGAGATGGAAGGAGATGCGACGCTTCTCGCTCATGACCCTGCGGAATTTCGGGATGGGGAAGAGGGGCATTGAGGACCGAGTTCAAGAGGAAGCCCGCTGCCTGGTGGAGGAGCTGAGAAAAACCAATGGTGGGTGACTCTTTATATGTCCGTAAGAGAATGCTGTCTTTTCCGGTTGTCACCTGAGGAAAAGTCGTGGAAGCCATGGGGTTCTTGCCTTCAAGCAAGAAAGAATTCAGGTGTGAGACAGAGAGCAGAGTGATAAGGCTTTATTAGGGACAGAGCATCCATCAGGACGGAAGGGACAGAGAGACAGCGTCCAGTCACTTGGACTGGGGGAGAGCGAGGTTACCTGGTTGAATGGGGAGAATACACCTGTGCAGGCCAGGTGGGTGACTCAGAACAGAGGCAGAGGGCTGAGTAGGCAGTCTGATTGGACTCCCTAGGTTTCTAAGGGAGTCTGTTTACCCACCTCCCCCTCTCCTCCAGGATAAAGGATGGAGAGTCCTGGCAGTAGGGTTTGTTGGGTGAAAATTAGCAGATTCCTCCCCAGATTTGCTGGCGCAGGGCAGATGGGGGGCTTCCATGAAGGTTTTATTACCTCATGTTATCAGGTCAGGTAACCCATTTGGTCCTGAGGAGAGAGAATTCTACTGCTTTCCTTGAGGGAAGGGCTGGGACCATCTGGGAGGTTATCAGCGTCTGAGCAGGACTATGAAGTGCAAGATGCTGGGCTTCTGGAGCTTCCGCAGTAGGTGCTGGTCTTCAGGCCTGTCTCACACACACATAGGCTCAATTTCTGACTTCCTACCTAACACAGTGATGGCCGTGGACACATTGCAAGAATAATAAAATCTTTCATTCTATGTCCTTGTTGTCAGCTCCCTAGAGGAGCAGGGACTATTTGAAGCTGAGAGTCAAGGGTGATTTTGTGCACGTTTGGTTGTGTTTCACACAGTGACCTTGCATACAGAGTTGGGAATAAAAGCCTCGTCTTACTTTTTCTGCTCTTAGTTGCTTTGTTTTTTAACTCTCATTTTTTTTTGGGGGGGGGGAATGAAGTGTGATTGTTTTTCTGTAGCATAAATTTGGGGTAATGTTCTAGAACATTTCACCAGGGCATACTAGTTCAGGGTGCATGGTGGGAATGACTTCATCACTTTCTTATGGAATATGAGAAGTTGCTAAGTGCTTTCACTTAATTGATCTACATTTATAGGATGAGCCTCATTGACATGTCCAGGGGATTTTTATGGCCCATGTTTACAATGCCTACCAGTAATGATATTTTTTCTATTTTAACTGCCTATGATCTCCTTGTACAGTCCTCATAAATCACACTTTTCCTGTGGATGAAATAATTGTCTTAAAATTATCAAATATAAGCTTAATGTTATTTAAATGCTTATTGTATTGTTTCATATACTTTGAATCAATATATACTATAGCTAAATTCTGCAAAATTACACAAAGAACAATATATAGAATGATTTATTTAACCATTCCATCATCTCTAATTTTAAATTGGCTTCATTTCAGCTTTCCCATATTTCATCTTCTTAATTTGTAAATTAATCACTTTAAAATTTTCTATATTTAATGAAACATTGACTTCTTTTTTTTTTTTTTTTTTTGACAGGCAGAGTGGACAGTGAGAGAGAGAGAGAGACAGAGAGAAAGGTCTTCCTTTGCCGTTGGTTCACCCTCCAACGGCCACTGTGGCCAGCATGCTGCGGCCGGCGCACCGCGCTGATCCGAAGGCAGGAGCCAGGTGCTTCTCCTGGTCTCCCATGTGGGTGCAGGGCCCAAGGACTTGGGCCATCCTCCACTGTACTCCCTGGCCACAGCAGAGAGCTGGCCTGGAAGAGGGGCAACCGGGACAGAATCTGGCGCCCCAACTGGGACTAGAACCTGGAGTGCTGGCGCCGCAAGGCGGAGGATTAGCCTATTGAGCCGTGGCACCAGCCTGACTTCTGGCACTGTTGTTGATCCAGGGTAGGACGTCCACTCCAATGGGTGGTTCATTCCTAAATACAGCAAATATTGTGTCCATAGCATGCCCTTGGTACACAGACCAATCTATGTAGAGCCCATACTTCCAAATGTCTCTATTATCAAACTCTCACATACCAAACCAATACTCTTCTGGCCTTAGGTCCTTCTAGGTCCAGGTACTAGAACACTAGAGACCTTCATACCCTGACCATAGCCCAGGGGTTTTTATGTCATTTAGATTATCTAATTCTAAACTTAATCAACATAATCCCTTGCCTCACTCATTCCTTCCCATAAAACCCTGATAAAGGGTCAGCTCTTTTCCCTGCTTCCTCTTGTTCCTTCCCAGCCATTCCTGGTTTTCCCTTGCATTCCCTCATGCTTTTTTCTTTTGGAAACTGTGCAGAACCACTTGTCTTTTCAGTAGCCCTCACCTCTTGTTTTGCTGGCCTCATCATATCTGACTAGAAACAAAACCCAAAGTGCATTTAAAAGCAATTGATTTGGGGTTAGAACTTTTATGATAATTATTTAACCCCACTGCCAGCTCCACTCATGCCCGAAGAGCTTGTTACAAACAGTCTGATGCCCAGTTTGGTTCCATAGGTTATCTGATTCTTAATTATGTTTACTAAATGAATTAAAAGGTAGAAAATGAAGTTTCTCTCTCTCTCTCTCTCAGAAAATTCAAATTCATAAACCCAAGGTATTTTTCATCATCTAGGTTAAAATAAAAGTTATATGAAAGCTTAGTGCTCTGCTGTATTTTAGCTGAAAAGGAGCCTGACCGGAGAAGTTAACTAAACAGACTTTCTATTATTTAATTCCCTGTCACTTCTTTTTTAAAATAATTTTATTTATTTATTTGAAAGGTAGGGTTGGGGAGGGGAGGGGAGAGGGAGAGAGGGAGGAGAGGGAGGAGAGGGAGGAGAGGGAGAGAGGGAGAGAGGAAGAGAGGGAGAGAGGGAGAGAGAGAGAGAGAGAGAGAGAGAGAGATATTCTATCCACTGGTTCACTTCCCAAATGGCTGAAAGGGCTGTGGCTGGTCTAGACCAAAGAAAGGAACCAGGAGCTTCTTTTGTTTCTCCCATGTGAGTGCAGGGGCCTAAGGACTTGGGCCATTTTCTGCTGTTTTCCCAGATGCATTAGTAGAGAGCTGGATCAGAAGTGGAGCAGCCTGGACTCACATGGCACCCATACAGGATGTTGGTGCTGTAGATGGTGTTTTCATCGGCTGCGCCACAACACCGGCCCCCTATCCTTTCTTTATACATTCTTGATTCAGGTCATCTTTAATTACATTTAGCAGCTGAATCCTGGGATTTTTACATACGAAGATTATTGATCTTTTGATTAGAACAATTTTATTCAAATGTTGCCCACCAAAAACAGAAAACAGACAAACAAAAAAACCCTAAAACTCTGCTTTAACTTTTTTTATATGCAAAGTGATGAAATTGACCTACATGATGGCCACACTGAAAAAATTCATAGTGACAGAGGTGACACTGATGCAGCCAGCTAAGCTGCCTTCTGCAGTGCCAGCATCCCATATGTGCTCAAGTTTGCATCCTGGCTGCTCCAATTCCAATCCAGCTCCCCGCTAATGCACCTGAGAAAGTAGCAGATGGCCCAAGTGCTTGGATCCCTGGACCCATGTGGTAGACCTGGCTTCTGGCTTTGGCTTGGCCTACCACTTAATGTTGTGGCCTACCACTTAATGTTGTGGCCATTTGGGAAATTAACCATCATTAATTAGCCAATCTCTGTCTGTCTCTCTCTGTCTCTGTCTCTCTATTTCTCTGTCTCCCCCCCCCCGTGTGTGTAACACTGTCTTTCAAATAAATAAATAAAATCTTAAAAAATTCATAGTGACACAGTGTTCTGTTGATGGCTATGTGAAGCAATAATCTAGAATTCTACAAGGCCACAGGTTTTGTCAGATAAACTAAGTGTGCAGCCTGATTGGTGATGATGGACATTGTTTCTTAGGGCAGGAATGATTTTTTTCTTTCTCCATCAAAAACATCAAAGGCCCTCACTCATCAATTTAACCTTTGTTTGTCCTTATCACTTAAATTTGAAATGAAGATTTCTAATTTCCTGTTAGTTTTATGCAAGCAAAGCTGTTGTATAATTTTGTTCATTTGGGCTAGTTTCTTTTCACATTCCATCGATGGTTTTCTGGCTATATTTGTTCCATCAAACACCTGAATTGTTTCATACACTTTCTCTTTAGTCTTCCTCTCTGAAGTTTCTATATATAATTTCTTCAATTATTCAACGTTTATAAAAGTTCCCTGTTTCCTTCTTTAATTGTCTGTATGCTCTCAGAACTGGTAGAGTTCTACACAAGCAATTGGAGTTACTACGTGGCTTCTGTTTTTCCTTCTAAAATAACGTTGATCTAGGATCAAATCCTGCACAAAGAAGCAGTGATGTTTTCTTCAAGCAGTGGGTGTTTTTGCAGAAGTTGGAAAGCCATCATTAAATAAGCTAGGCTGGGGAAACTGTAGTGTTGCTGTAAGCACTTTGAAGATTTTGCTGCTAAGGTAGTCTGTATGTCAATATTATTTTAGATTCTAAAGTTAACTCTGCATGTTAGTTCAAAGGCTAAAAGTTTCATATGGATGTTTTGAATGGTATTTAAAATAGTATATAAAATAGTATTTAAATATATAAAAGATAGTATTTAAAAATGTTTCCCATTCTTCAGGCTCACCCTGTGATCCCACCTTTATCCTGGGCGCTGCTCCCTGCAACGTGATCTGCTCTGTGATTTTCCAGAACCGTTTTGATTATAGAGATCAGACTTTTCTTAACTTGATGGGAAAATTCAATGAAAACTTCAAGATTTTGAATTCCCCCTGGGTACAGGTGAGTTCAGGTTCCCCTCTTTCTGAGAGAACATTTCTCTTCTTTTCATTGATGAGCTCAGAACTGAAAATTGATATGCAGTCTCTTCTTTTCACTTCACAGCATGACTTAGCATTTTGTCTTGAAGATAAATTCTTTCATCATTTTTGGCCATGGACTCCTTATGGCCTCCATTTTTTCTTTTCTCTGTAGTAGCTATTTGTTTAGTGACTTTTCTACATTTTCTAAAAAACAGTATATGTGTATGTCTTATGTTATTTCTACATTCTCTCTTATCTTAGCTTGTGTTCAGCTGGTTTTGACAGAAATTATCTTGAAAATGAAAGTAAAACATGAGAAAGATATGTACGCACAATTAGAGAAAGAGAGAAAGAAAGGAAGGAAAAGGAAGAAAGAGAAAGGAAGGAAGGAAAGAAGGAAGGAAGGAAGAGAGGAAGGAAGGAAGTAGAGAAGAAAGAAGATTAAACCTTTTCTGGGACAAGACCTGTGTTGGGACACTCCTTAGATCACTTTTGTTGGCTAAACAGAACCTAGGTGTTAGCCACAGGTGCAAGTTCAGCGTTTCCTCAAGTCTTTTCTTTTTTAGTTAAAAACTATTTATTTGTTTTCATTTTTCTTGGATGGCAGAGAGCCTGGGAGAGAATGAGATAGAGACAGACAGAATTAGACTTTTTACCCACTGATTTAACTCTTCAGTTGCCCATAGTAGCCAGCACTGAGCCAAGCTGAAGTCAGGATCCTGCGACACAATCCAATTTCTCTGTGGGTGCCATGGACCCAAATACTTCAGCATAAAATGCTGCCTCCCAAGGCTGCATTAGCAGGAAGCTGAAATTGGAAGTTGAGCTGGAGACACTGCAGTGAACACACACACTACAATATGGTATGTGAGTGTCCCAAGTGACGTTTCAGTCACTGCACCTAATGTTCACCCTCTGTTCTTTTATGTTTTTGGTAAAAAGTTCAACATTCTTCATATTTTTTATTCCTAGTACCACTACCACAATTTATAGAAATATACTTGATGCAATGAAAAGAAAAATAAATGATGAAGCTACAACAGATAAAAAAAAAAGCCTCAAGAATGTATACCTATTCAGCACTACATTATATAATCAATAGCTGCACTTTTAGCAAATTGTGGCTATGACATCCAGGAAAAGAAGGGTTCCATGTTTAACCTGCAGTAACTGTTCTGACTTTGGGTCATTGTTCCTTCCTATTTGTTTTTTATGTTTCCTAATGCATTTGGGAGAATAGTCTCAAAGTAACCTGCAGGTTTACCCATTACCCTTTGCTCTCTCTCCTGCTAAAAATTGTAGCCCTTTTTATGCTGTTTTTAGAATCTTCTACCACCATATCCACCACTTCCACCACTAATTCCATAAACACCACCATAGGAACTTCTTGAGATTTTCCCACCAAAAATACCCCCTTTCATAAACCCATAACTTGATTGATGCATCCACTTTAACTTTCAAACCATTGTGATGCCCACCACCACCATAGTTACCTCCAAAATTCCCTCCTTCATTTTACCATCACATCTTCCTTCTCTAGCATATCTGTCCCCGTATCTGTCCACCACAACCAGTAGCCCCTTCTGCTACTGCCACCAGTACCTCCACCATGCTTATCTTCACGGTCTCCGTATCTTCTCTCCTCCAACACCTCCTCTATAACTTCCTCTGCTGCCACCGCCCCCAACCACATAGCCCCCTCTTCCACCAAAGTTTCCACCACTGCCGAAATTACATCCACCACCTCCAGAGTTTCCTCCATGATCCATTAAGTTGCCAGACCCAGCACCTCAGCCTCTTGGTGATCTGGCAGCAGCCTGTATCTTTTGTTTACAAAGGTTTTTTTTTGTTTCACCTCAAAACTATGCCCACTAATAGAGTGGTATTTCTGAACAACAATTTTATCAACTGTTAACAAAAGTCAAACCTCTTTTTTCCCCTACTCTACCTATGTTGTATAACTTCTGTAATTTCAGTATTTTCATGCTTTTCAAAGAAGTCTCTCAAAGTATGTTCTCCTGTATCTTTAATATCACCAACAAAAATATCCTTCACTGTTAAATGGGCACCAGGCTTTAATACATCCATTCTAAAAACATCTCTCCTTGGTTACACTCCATGCCCATGAACCTTATGCAGGGCATGTCCCCAGTTTTCTAAATGCCTCAGTATACATAGGCAGTTTTGAATGCCCTAATTGCCCAAGTTAGTCACTCTCCAGCTCTTCTTCCCAGAGTCACGTGCTCTATTGTGTACCTCAATTGTAGTCCTTTGCTACAGGTTAGCTGTAATTTTCCATTTGCCTGTCAGGGTTTTGGAGAAGTACCTGCTTCTTTTCCACCCTAAATGAATTATGCATTAGATGAAGCAATGGCAAATGCCTCCTTTCAATTCTGTAGGTTTCTCTCAGGCAGGTCAGAACAGAGACACAACCTCTTCTTCTGGAATTAGGAATCAGGGCCCCTCCCTGGGAACAAGGCTGCCCTGTCAAGACCACTGCTGAGTCAGGCAGGGAGGTAGAACAAGGGCAAATAAAAATGAAACAAAGCTTTCTTACTATTTTAATTTAGTTTTTCTTTCATTCTAATTTCTTTTGTTGCTGTATATTTTTCACTGTTGTCTAAAGTTCTGGTCAACTTATTCAGGCTGGTTTTACTCAATTTCTCAAGAGCTTTGTGGAGGGATAGGAGTTTTGAGCCATCTTTTGTGACATTTTCGCTGATATCAAATGATGAAGTGAATGTTTGACCAATACAGTCCTGTCCATATCATAGCCTCATAAAGTGACTGCTTGGGACATCAAGTTGAGCCCTTTATTTACAGAAAAGAGACCAAATATCTCAATACAGAGCTGGCATTCGAGCCCCTTGGATGGTAGTTTTTCCATCAAATTTGTAAACTCAGTTTCTGGACAGTCATTGGGTGATTGCCCAACAGCATGCCCAGGGATCTCAGTTTGGTCTCAGACCTTTGCTACAAAGCTTTTGCTGCTTACAAGGGTGTTCCACAATCAACACTTAGAAAAATGTTCATCATATTCTTTGCCTGAAATACCCTAATTTGGTATGTCAAGGAGATTGAATGTTTGGGAGTGTAGATGTTGCCAGGAACCTCTGAATACTGAAGACTGTTTTGTGCATCAAACACTAGTTGAGAAAGCAGGGTTAGCTCACAAAATGATTGGGTTTGGGGTGGATGATCCATGAGTAAACATCACAGTTATGCTTTTTCTTGAGCTGGTACATTATGTGATATTATAGAAGTAACTTAACCACTCTGGTGCAGAGGTTTTGATTCGTAGAATGCTGACCTGGATTCCATGTTGCCTCTGCAACCCTCCCATTCATACAGCTATTCCTGCAGCTGCTTGCTCATAGTAGAAATCGCAGGAAGTAGCTCTGTGTTTGGTTTCTTGCCCTCTGAGTTAATCTACAAATATGAATAGAAGCAATTCTCAGCAATCTTTATTTTGAGATTCTTGGGAAGAATGGGTGTAAAATGAGGATTGACATAATATGATAAAGGGTGGGGCTGGGCGTGTGGCATAGTGGGTAAAGCTGCTGCCTGGTGATGCCAGCATCCCGTATGGGCATGGTTCATATCCCAGATGCTCCACTTACCATCCAGCTCCCTACTAATGTGCCTGGCAAAAGCAGTGAGAACGGCCCAAGTGCTTGGACCCCTGCACACATATGGGAGACCCCCGATGGGGCTCCTGGCTCCTTGATTCGGACCAGCCCAGTCCTGGCCATTGTGGCCATTTGGGGAGTGAGTAGATGATTGGGAGATCTCTCTCTATGTCTCCCTCCCTCTGTAGCTCTACCTTTCAAATGAATAAATAAATCTTTAAAACAAGTTCAAAGTAATGTATTAATGAAAAAATTATTGTCATCTTTGATTGTGAGGCCAAAGTTTTTCCCTTATGTCATTTTGTCAATACTGAGTGTTACTTTACTTGAACAATTACATGCTGCTGCTTAAAGTACAGACTGATTTAAAAAATTTGTATGAATATAAAGAGAACTTATTCATGTAGCTCATAGGAAAAGTCTGAGAATAAATTGATATTTGTCTGCCTCCCATTTTTGATGCTTTCTTTTAAATTTTTGTGATAGCATATTTTAATTTATGTTGTACTCACAGGGAGCCCTTTTTTTAACTTTTATTTAATGAATATAAATTTCCAAAGTACAGCTTATGGATTACAATGGCTTTCCCCCCATAACTTCCCTCCCACCTGCAACCCTCCCATCTCCTGCTCCCTCTCCCCTTCCATTCACATCAAGATTCATTTTCAATTCTCTTTATATACAGAAGATCAGTTTAGCATATATTAAGTAAAGATTTCAACAGTCTTCACCCACACAGAAAAACAAAGTGAAAAATACTGTTTGAGTACTCGTTATAGCATGAAATCTCAATGTACAGCACATTAAGGACAGAGATACTACATGAAGAGTAAGTGCACAGTGACTCCTGTTGTTGACTTTACAAATTGACACTCCTGTTCATGGCATCAGTAATCTCCCTATGCTCCAGTCATGAGTTTCCAAGGCTATGGCAGCCTTTTGAGTTCGCCGACTCTTATCTTATTTAGACAAGGTCATAGTCAAAGTGGAAGTTCTCTCCTCCCTTCAGAGAAAGGTACCTCCTTCTTTGAAGACCTGTTCTTTCCACTGGGATCTCACTCACAGAGATCTTTCATTTAGGTTTTTTTTTTTTTTTTTTTTTTTTTTTTTTTTTTTTTTTTTTTTTTTTTTGCCAGAGTGTCTTGCTTTCCATGCCTGAAATACTCTCATGGGCTTTTCAGCCAGATCCGCATGCCTTAAGGGCTGATTCTGAGGCCAGAGTGCTGTTTAGGACATCTGCCATTCTATGAGTCTGCTGTGTATCTTGCTTCCCATGTTGGATCACTCTCCCCTTTATTTATTCTATCGGTTAGTGTTAGCAGGCACTAGACTTGTTTATGTGATCCCTTTGACTCTTAGTCCTTTCATTATGATCAATTGTGAACAGAAATTGATCACTGGGACTAGTGAGATGGCATTGGTACATGCAACCTTGATGGGATTGAACTGGAATCCCCTGTTGTGTTTCTAACTCTACCATTTGGGGCAAGTCAGCTTGAGCATGTCCCAAATTGTACATCTCTTCCCTCTCTTATTCCCACTCTTATATTTAACAGGGATCACATTTCAGTTAAGTTTCAACACTTAAGAATAATTGTGTGTTAATAACAGAATTCAACCAATAGTATTAAGTAGAACAAACAAAAAAAATACTAAGAGGGATAACGTATTACGTTCTTCATCAACAGTCAGGGCAAGGGCTGATCAAGTCACCATTTCTCATAGTGTTCATTTCACTTTAACAGGTTTCCTTTTTGGTGCTTTGTTAGTTGTCACCGATCAGGGAGAATATAAGATATTGGTCCGTTTGGAACTGACTTATTTCACTCAGCATGATATTTTCCAGATTCCTCCATTTTGTTGCAAATGACTGGATTTCATTGTTTTTTTTACTGCTGTATGGTATTCTATAGAGTACATATCCCATAATTTCTTTATCCAGTCTACTGTTGATGGCATTTAGGTTGATTCCAGGTATTAGCTATTGTGAATTGAGCTGCAATAAACATTAAGGTGCAGACCGTTTCGTTTCCCAATTTAATTTCCCTTGGGTAAATTCCAAGGAGTGGGATGGCTGGGTTGAATGGTAGGGTTATATTCAGGTTTCTGAGGAATCTCCAGACTGACTTCCATAATGGCTTGACCAGTTTGCTTTCCCACCAACAGTGGGTTAGTGTCCCTTTTTCCCTACATCCTCTCCAGCATCTATTGTTGGTAGATTTCTGAATGTAAGCCATTCTAACCGGGGTGAGGTGGAACCTCATTGTGGTTTTGATTTGCATTTCCCTGATGGCTAGTGATCTTGAACATTTTTTCATGTGTCTGTTGGCCATTTGGATTTCCTCTTTTGCAAAATGTCTATTGAGGTCCTTGGCCCATCTCTTAAGTGGGTTGTTTGTTTTGTTGTTGTGGAGTTTCTTGATCTCTTTGTAGATTCTGGTTATTAATCCTTTATCTGTAGCATAGTTTGTGAATATTTTTTCCCATTCTGTCAGTTGCCTCTTCACTCTCTTGACTGTTTCTTTTGCAGTACAGAAACGTTTCAATTTGATGTAATCCCAACAGTTAATGCCTGCACCTCCAGGGTCTTTTCTAGGAAGTCTTTGCCGGTGCCAATATCTTGCAGGGTTTCTCCAGTGTTCTCTAATAATTTGATTATTCTATGCCAACAGAAATGAAAAAAAAAAAGCTGGTGTAGCCATATTAATATCAGCCAAAATAAACTTTAACACAAAAACTGTTAAGAGAGACAAAGAGGGACACTATATAATGATTAAGGGTTCAATTCAACAGGAAGATGTAACTATTATAAATGTATGTGCACCTAATTACAGAGCACCAGTTTGTTTATTTAAAATGTATGTTAAGGGACTTAAATGGAGACTTAGATTCCAATACAATAGTAGTGGGGGACTTCAATACTTCACTCTCAGAAATAGACAGATCAACCGGACAGAAGATCAACAAGGAAACAGCAGATTTAATCGACACCATTGCCCAAATGGATCTAACAGATATCTACAGAACTTTCAATCCTACATTTAAAGATTTTACATTCTTCCACTTTGACCATGGCCTTGTCTAAATATGATCAGAGTCAGTGAACTCAGGGGGCTTCCATAGCCTTGGCAGCTCATGACAAGAGCCTAGGGTGATTACTGATGCCATAAACAAGAGTGTCAATTTGTTAATTGAACAACAGGAGTCACTGTGCACTTACTCCTCATGCAGGATCTCTGTCCTTAGTGTGCTGTACATTGAGATTTAATGCTATAACTAGTACTCAAACAGTATTTTTCACTTTATGTTTCTGTGTGGGAGCAAACTGTTGACATCTTAATGTATGCTAAACTGATCTTCTTTATATAAAGAGAATTGAAAATGAATCTTGATGTGAATGGAAGGCGAGAGGGAGTGGGAAAGGGGAGGGTTGCGGGTGGGAGGGACATTATGGGGGGGAAGCCATTGTAATCCATAAGCTGTACTTTGGAAATCTATATTCATTAAATAAAAGTTTAAAAAAAAGATTTTACATTCTTCTCAGCAGTGCGTGGAACCTTCTCTAGGACTGACCACATACTAGGCCATAAAGCAAGTCTCAGCTAATTTAAAAGAATTAGAATCATCTCAGACCACAGTGGAATGAAGGTGGAGATTAGCAACTCAGGAATCCCTAGAGCATACGCAAATACATGGAGATTGAACAACATGCTCCTGAATGAACAATGGGTCATAGAAGAAATCAAAAGAGAAATCAGAAACTTTCTGGAAGTAAATGAGGATAACAACACAATATCAAAACGTATGGGATACGGCAAAAGCAGTGTTGAGAGGAAAGTTTATAGCAATAGGTGCCTACTTTAAGAAATTGGAAAGGCACCAAATAAATGAGCTTTCAATGCATCTCAAGGATCTAGAAAAACTGCAGCAAACAAGACCCAAATCTAGTAAGAGAAGAGAAATAATTAAAATCAGAGAAGAAATCAACAGGGACTCTTTTTTTTTTTTTTTAAAGATTTATTTATTTCAAAGTCAGAGTTACACAGAGAGAGAAGGAGAGGCAGAAAGAGAGAGAAAGGTCTTCCATCCTCTGGTTCACTCTCTAATTGGCCTCAATGGCCTGAGCTGTGCCTATCCTAAGACAGGAGCTTCTTCCAGGTCTCCTATGTGGGTGCAGGGGCCCAAGGACTTGGGCCATCTTCTACTGCTTTCCCAGGCCATAGTAGAGCGCTGGATCGGAAGTGGAGCAGCCAGGACTCGAACCAGTGCCCATACAGGATGCTGGCACTGCAGGCAGTGGCTTTACCTGCTATGCCACAGCACAAGCCCCAGGGAGCCTTTTCTAATCAGGGTTTTAAAGCATAGTGTAATGTATTGTGTATATGTCTTTAATAAATATGTTTAATTTAGTAATTATTTTTTAATTTTATAGGTCTGCAATACTTTCCCTATTCTTATTGACTGCCTCCCAGGAAGTCCCAGAAAAGTAATTAATAATCTTAGTTATGTAAAAAATTATGTTTTGGAGAAAATAAAAGAACACCAAGAATCTCTGGACATTAACAACCCTCGAGACTTCATTGATTGTTTCCTGATCAAAATGGAACAGGTGAAATGTTATTTATTTATCTGCATTTGTGGCTGATTGATAATTTGTGTACTTATTGGGGATGTTCAAATGATCAGAGAAGAAATACTTGGCCAGCACTTGAAGTATCCTTGTGCGTATGGAACATGACTAAGGGTCATGGAAGAATTAAATTGAGATGTTAAACAATTAGAATATATGGACTCTGCTTTAGGTATTAATTTCATGAGGAGAGACACAGTGCACACCTCAGTTACTATGGAAAACAAATTGAAAAACTGAAAGTATCAAAGCATATGATTAATGTGAACCCAATCATATGTTACTGTGCATGGGAGAATGAAAAGCAAGGGTTTCACCTAGTGGGCTTCCATTATGCCATGAGGTTTGGTTTTCATCTTCAAGTATTTGCAGTAAGGTGCAGCAGAAAGGGTGTCAGGTGGGTCGAAGGGTGTAATGAGAGGTTCTGAAGTGTTTGGTGGCAAAGATTTGGAAAGCACTTTTACATGACTATAAGCAAAAATGAATTGGGCAGATAAGGCATTGTAAGAGTCTGCCAAGTAACTTGCAGGCCTGAATGCTGGTAGGGTGAGTTTTGATCAGGTATTGGAATGACCCAGGGGCCAGCGTGGTGGTATAGCTGGTAAAGCGATGGCCTGTAATGCTAGCATTCTGTATGGGAGCTCCTTTGAGTCCCAGCTGCTCCACTTGTGATCCAGCTCCCTCCTACTGTGCCTGGGAAAGCAGTGGAGGATGACTTGAGTGCTTGGGCCTGAAACCACATGAGAGACCAGGAAGAGGCTTCTGGCTCATGGCTTTGGCCTGGCCCAGCCCTGGCCATTTTGGCCATTTGGGGAGTGAACTTGAGGATTTAAGATCTCTCTCTCTATCTTTCTCTCTTTCTGTAGGTCGATCTTGCAACTAAATAAATAAATAAATAAATCTCTAAAAAAAGGGAAATTACCTAGAACAAGAGTGGGATGCAGGTAAAATGTAGCACTAATTGACCTGGAACATCACTAGAAAGATCTGTAAGAAAAAATGGGTCTCAAGGCCCAGCTATGAGATCTGTCTTTTCTTTGGATTTCGGTGACAGTCTGGACTATGCAAATGTGAATTCTGAACTACAGTGAAGTTTTCCAATTTGTCATCTTCTCAGAGATTGATAGATATCAGCTTCAGTTAGAGGAGAGGATAGGAACCACATGATAGAAGAAGCAAATTACCTTTCTTATCTTTCTTCACTTTGTTAGGGCAATGATTCTTATCTTTCTGGGGTCCAGTTAATTTGAAAATCACGTTTAAATTATGGGTACCTTACTAGGAGAATGCATTCTCCATATTTGGCACACATTTGGAGATATTTCCTTAATGTTACGAAGCCTGTCCTTTTAATCCCAGTTTAAGGAGGACTTTAAGGTCCCTAGCATTTCAATTACCAGTGGTTAATTCCTCAGTACTTATTTGTAAACTGCTTTGTACTTTGGACTTAGCATAGTATTTGGAATCAGACTTTTTTATATTTGAATGAATATATTTCATATACTATCTGATCATAAATTTTGAGTACACTTTAATAATCTTTGTATTTTCAGGGATTTCTATATTCACACCACTATCAATTTCAGCACATTTTCATTACCCTGAAAAGAAAATGGATATTCTAAGTTATTTTTATTACATTTTGCAAATTTTCTTTTCACTTTCTTGCTAGTGTCCTCTGAAATATGATGTTCTTGATTTTTGTGAAATACAATTTATTTTTCATTTTTTGTGATATTGATGTCATATCTATGAAATGATTTGCTATCTGAAGGTCAGGAGCACTCAATTCATGTTTTCTTGTAAGAGTTTTGTAGTTTAATTGATTTCTTTATCACTATATACTGAGATTATTTGTTTCTTTTTATTGTTTCATTTATTTATTTAAAGCTAGAGGGAAAGGAGAGAGAGAGAGGGAGAAAGAGAGGGAGAGAGAGAAAAGTTTTCCATCTGATGAGTAACTCTCCAATGCCTACAGCAGCTGGGACTGGACCAAGCTGAAGTCAAGTCCCTGAGGCTCATTCCAGATCACCTACATGGTTGACCAGAACCCAAAGACTTGAGCCATAATTTAGTCCCTTCCAGTTCACACATTATCAAGAAGCTGAAAGGGAAGGGAGGCAGAACTCAGATCAAAGCACTCTAATATGGACTGTGAATGTCTCTGGTGGTGTCTTAATTGCTGCACAAAATATCAGTCCCTGCTTTCACAGTTTTTGACATAAATTCTATTTTATCTCATGTAAGTATAACTATCCCTACTATCCCTGCCCTTTTTTTCCGCTTTGCATAAAATATCTTCATCTGGATACTTTCAGACTATGATATCCTCTGTTATGAACTGTCTTATAGGAAACATGTATCTGTATCTTGCTTTTTAAATCCACTCAGTAACAGCATGCCTTTCTTTTTTCCTAGACTTTAAAAAATTATGTGTTAACTGTCACAAATCAGAGAAAATGTGTGGTATTTGTCTTTTTGTGACTTGCTGATTTCACTAAGCATAAGGATTTCCAGCTGCATCTATTTTGTTATCAAAGGCAGGATTTCTTTTTTTTTATGGCTGAGCACTATTCCATAGTTTATATATCTCGCATTTTCTTTATCCAGTCACCAGTTGATGGGCAGCTGGGTTGATTCCATATCTTAGCTATTACGAATTGAGCTGCAATAAACATGGAAGTACAAATAACTCTTTCATATGCTGATTTCATTTAGTGTGGGTAAATTCCCAGGAGTGGGAAGGCTGGGTCATATGGTAGATTTATTTTCAGAAATCTGAGGAATCTCGATACTGTCTTCCATATTGGTTGTACTAGTCTACATTCCCAACAGCAGTTTTCCTGACATCCTTGCCAGCATTTATTATTTTTTGATTTTTTAATGACAGCCATTCCAACAGGGGTGAAGTGAAACCTCATTGTGGTGTATATTTGATTTTCCTGATGGCTAGTTGATCTTGAACATTTTTTCATGCGTTTGTTGGCCATTTGTATTTCATCTTTTGAAAAGTGTCCTTAGCCCATTTGTTAGCTAGATTGTTTTATTGTTCAGTTTCTTGAGCTCTTCATAGATCCTGGATATTAATCCTTCATCAGTTGCATAGTTTGCAAATATTTTAATATTTTCTCCAAGTCTGTTGGTTGCCTCTTCATTCTTTTGAGTGATTCTTGTGCAGTGCAGAACTTCTTAGCTTGATGCAATTCCACTTGTCTATTTTTTCTTTTATTGGCTGTGCGTCTGGGTTTTATTTCCACCAGAAAGTCTTTTCTTATGCTAATATCTTTTTTTAAGACTTAAAGTGATGACTTTATTCTAAAAATGACTTCAACCCTTCTAGCTCACATATTGGACACATGTATGGTCTATGTTTTCAAGTATGTATTTCTAACAAACACTCAAGTTTCTCACATTATATGTACTATGTCTTATGAAGCCATTATAACATTCTTTTCCCCTTACATGAGTTTGTAACCAATTGAAAAATAAATATCCATAAATTAGTCAATAAAGAGCAAAATATCATCCTTTTAAATCAATGACTTTGGTTTTGATTTATAACAGCAATAGAGGAAGTGGCTAGGATATATGAAAATAGATGTACTAACGATAAACCTTAGTATTACACCAAACTGTCTCATCACAGCCTGCTCTGGTCATAGTTACCCTCACTCAGTAGAATAAGGCCTTCAGAGAAGCAGTGGCTCATGATGAAGAACTATAATACTAGCTCTCTGTTGGATATGGCTGGCACAGACTTGGTTCCTTTCCAGCTCACTAGCCCTGCCTCGTCCCCGAGACTGAGATCTCAAAGTGTTAAACTAAGAGATGTCTCACCATATGGAAATACAGACTAGAAAAGGAAATTCTTTTTTTTTTCAACTTTTATTTAATAAATATAAATTTCCAAAGTACAACTTTTGGATTATAGCGGCTATTCCCCACATAACCACCCTCCCACCCGCAACCATCCCATTTCCCACTCCCTCTCCCATCCCATTCTTCATCAAGATTCATTTTCAATTGTCTTTATGAACAGAAGATCAGCTTAGTATATACTAAGTAAAGATTTCAACAGACTGCACCCACACAGAAACACAAAGTATAGAGTATTGTTTGAGTAGTAGTTTTACCATTAATTCACATAGTACAACACATGAAGGACAGAGATCCTACATGGGAGCAGGTGTACAGTGACTGCTGTTGTTGATTTAACAATTGACACTCTTATTTATAACATCAGTAATCAACTGAGGCTCCTGTTATGAGCTGCCAAGGCTATGGAAGCCTTTTGAGTTCATAAACTCTGATCTTATTTAGACAAGGCCATAGTCAAAGTGGAGGTCCTCCCTTCAGAGAAAGGTGCTTCCTTCTTTGATGGCCTGTTCTTTCCACTGGGATCTCACTCACAGAGATCTTTCATTTAGGGCATTTTTTTCCACATTTTTCTTCTTGGCTTTCCATGCCTGAGAAAATCTCATGGGCTTTTTAGCCGGATCCAAATGCCTTAAGGACTGATTCTGAGGCCAGAGTGCTGTTTAGGGCATTTGCCATTCTATGAGTCCGCTGTGCATCCCGCTTCCCATGTTGGAATATTATCTCCTTTTTTATTCTATCAGATACTATCAGCAGACACTAGTCTTGTTTATGTGATCCCTTTGACACTTAATCCTATCAATATGATCAATTATGAACTGAAACTGATCACTTTGACTAGTAAGATGCAATTGGTACATGCCACTTTGATGGGCTTGAATTGGAGTCCCCTTGCACGTTTCTAGCTCTACCATTGGGGTAAGTCCGATTGAGCATGTGCTGAACTGTACATCTCCTCCTTCTCTTATTCCTACTCTTATATTTAACAAGGATCACTTTTCAGTTAAATTTAAACACCTAGGAATAATTGTGTGTTAAAGAGTTCAATCAATAGTATTAAGTAGAACAAAAAAGGAATAAAATAGTAGGTTGTTCCTCAACCT